CAATATTATCGTTTATCGCAATAAATTTTGAGACAATTAATCGCCCAGCAAAATTTGTTATCYTGACAGGCCTACACAGCTAATGTGTCAAAAACAAAATGCAACGATTGGAAAATCTCAAACGGATATTTTAYTCACAATAAAACACATGAAATGTTAGAAATTGTACCATTTTTGTAAAACAAATCAGGTAATTTTGTGTTTGATGGCAGCAACACATCTTGAAAAATGACTGACAATGCCATGTTCTCACTGTCAGGATGCTGTCTCTACAGTCTGTAACGTCTACCAGCTCCTACTGTGTTGGAGGGGAATGTTGTCTTAACCTTGTCTGATGTGGGACACAATAAGAACACAGACCAATAACATACTGAAATAACTCACATCTGATTGAAGTCAGTGAGAAAAGATGTGTTTTTAAGAGATTTACAAACAGGAAGTGATGAGTTGTGTCAAATGTTGGATATGTTGTCCAGTGGAAAGTGTCACAACTTTGTCACAGTGAGGTTGTAATAATAGATACACAGTTTATCRCAGGCATGGTCAGTCCTGGTCCTGGYGGMCRGCAGRCCTGCATGTTTTACCTGTTCCTCTGCTCCAACACACCTGATATGATGATTATCAGTCTTCTCCAGTACGGAGGACCAACACTGACATCATTAGAAATGTTTTAAAAAGAAATTTGTTTTAAGGTTCATTTATCTATTTCTGATTTATTTCTAATTATGTCAGTGTCGGATCTCCGTACTGCAGAACATGAAGAGGTAGTTCAGGGACTGAGTCAGGTGTGTTGGAGCAGGAAACATGCTGCGGRCCTCCAGGACCAGGATGGCCCACCCCTGGTTTATCCAGTGCACAGTCAGGCATATCAAACTGGTCTAATGCAGGTTTTACTTGGACTATGAGAGAGTTCTTACCAATGTCTTTCATGGTGAGGCGTTTTCGGGGTTTCAGATGGGGCTGGGTGGCCTCCACAGAGCCTGGAGGGAAGGCCACGTCTCTCCGGATCAATGGTTGCTGCACAGGAGCCTGTCCAATATGTGAGGCGGGAACTGGAGGACCTGCTTTCTGCACCTTAATACCAGGATGCATGTAGGGCGATTTACTAGGTGACGTCCTGCTTTCCATGGGCCGAGACATGGGAGCTGGGCTGGACACCTGAGGACTGTGGTTCTGGGAAGTCTGGTAGGTGGAGGGCAGTGGTCTGGTCATAGGGGGTCCAGAGCCAGTGGGGCCAAARGGTGGCTGCCGCTGGTTGACGTGGCCAGGCCACTGTCCCTCGTGGTTCATTCGTTGGTCTGATGGCATCATGTCCTCTGAGCGGTTCATGCTGTGGTACCCAGGACCCTGGCCTGCTACAGGAGGTCCCTGTCTGTTAGGATAGTTGGGATAGCCCATCTCATTGCGAGCCTGCCATACTGGGCCTTGGGGGCCGTCAAGACCTGAAGGCATGGGGCTGCCTATCATCTGGGAAGGCATGTGAGACTGGGAGTTGGGACCTGCGGATGAAGGCCCTCGGTCCCGTCCGAATGGGAATGGGAACTGGTTCTGTGGTCCTGGTGGTCTCCGTTCTCCACCTGGATATGCATTATATTGGTTATACATGTCCTGCTGTCCCTGGTGCCCAGAGGGTTGGGGTCCAGGCTGCTGCTGACCACCGTAAGGAACGTTATACATTTCTCCCTCATGGCGCTTGGCTGGAGGACCGTAGCCTCCATCTACAGGACGCTTGTAGTTCTGTCAGCAGAAAGCAGTCAACATCAGGGTTTTCAAGTTTGTTACTTCAAACACAGTAACTTAGAGATTAGTTACTGCTGATAACATTCTGATGGAATGCAACAAATAACAGTAAAAACCATTGATCTATATTACTGGARTGGACATGGCCTATAGCCACTACAGCTAGCGATGCGTCGTCACAGGAGCCTTTGCTCTGCATTGAGTCATGTCAACAAAACTGTAGATTCAATGTGGGATGTGTGTCAATCTGTCACAAAAATGTTCATAGCACCCTCATTTCTTATCTGATTTCTATAAAATATGGCTTAAATTAAAGCTGAGAAAATTGCCAATGTTGTGATGTGTAAAAATATTTGTTCAAGAGATAAATCTGTAAGCAGCCTGGAAACTTTTTATTATAGGTTTTTGTTAACATATTTACAGTAGGAGCCCCTTTCCGTCACATAAAACTTAGAGTCATGTGTGTCATATATATATATATAT